CATTAGATATCAGAAGTGTTAGGGATTTGGCTTGGTTGTTCCACCAAGTTAGTGCTCTATCAGTGAAGGTGCAGGCTACAACTTCACTTTTCTGGACTCGGGCCTTGCACAAATCTCGAATATTGATTTGGTTTTCTCGAACCAACGAGTTACTGTAATGACTCCTCTAGTACCATCGAAGGATCGAGGTTTCGCATTGGTGAAGTCCTTGTTTAAACACTCCTTCAGGTGTCCATGACTGTCACCGAGGTTAGATGGGCTGGCACCACTACTTGCCTCGCTCGTGCCACTTGCATTTATCTGTGACATGGCGGTAGCCATGGGGACTGTTACTACTGCTTGGAAGACAACAAGATCGTACTGAGAAGGTGGTGGCGACATATTTGTTGGAGGATTGTTGTTCTTTCTGTTGGACTTCTTTAGAGGCATCTTTCTCAAAAATAATTTAAGAGAAAACGATGGTAATTCCTTGAGGAGAGTTCTAAGTCAGGTGATATTGAACAATATATATCCCATCCTGAAAATTATATTCTTCTATTAAGTGTTTTACCGTAGAAGTCTATTAGTACAAGTAAACAATTGCCAGGAAATTAATAGAAACACTTAGAATGAAATCTGTAAAATGTGTTTGGCTCTAGTATCGTAGTGCTATACAATACTCCTATAGTATTTTAATTTGTATCCTCTGTTCTATTGTTCCCTTTTGTATAGAGTTTTGTAGGTTTTAGACTTGTTGCAACACCACTATCACTCCCAAACACATGTTTTTCGTATCTCAAATAAATATAGTTGATCATGCTATATTTATCCTAGATATGATTACATAACTTCCTAGGTTTAACTATAGTGTCCAACATCTAAATACTTTTGTTTTGTTCTTCTTATGATACTACTTCTAGTATCTAGGTATACTTGTATACTTCTTATAAAATAGTTAGATTTTAAAAGTATACTTTTATTTCAGAGCGCTTCAGCCCCTTAGTGTTATAGTTGTATATCATGTAAGGTTTTATATACTTAGTTCACTATAAACAATGCTTTGATATCAATCTGTCACACCCCCAAACCGAGACAGCGGAAACGTTTCGGGGCGGAGGACGTCATGTACAATATCACAACAATTGCATCAAAGAAATCAAAGTAAACACAACCTTTACATTGACTAATTAAGGTATTTACATATGTTCGATACATAGTTTGTATGACATCAAAATGTATAACGAAAGTATAAACGACACGACTCTAAAAGCTGCGTCTTCTCAAAATACTATGGGTGTACCCGTCTAATCGGTTCCCTGAGAATACAAGTGATTTTGAAAGTGTAGGTGCGTTCATAAGAATGTTTTTGTACTTGAAATCTTGACTTTGAATCTTTGAAAATGTTTGTATGTTTCTCAAGAACATCCAATATTTTCTTTAGTAGTGAAATGTAGTCTTAGACCTAAAGACCAGAATATATGATTGTTACTGTATTCGGTAATTGTATATCGTAGTAGTTTTTGATAAGAATCCTTATTTGTATATCTTTGTATGTATGCCTGGATACCACAAGTTGTATTGTATAGTATTTTTATGTATGAAAACCTTTGTATGAAACCCCTGGTTATCACTAGTAATAGTGTATTGTATTGGTATGTTTGAAAACCTTTGTATGAACTCCCTGGATACCACCAGTAATGTATAGTATAGTTCTGTATGAAAACCCTAATTATCACCAATATTGGATAGTATTGCTCTGTTTGAAAACCCTGGTTACCACCAGTAATGTATAGTATTATTCTGTAAGAAAAACTTGGTTACCACTAGTAATATATAACATTGTTCTGTAAGAAAACTCTAGTTACCACCAGTAATGTATATTAGTTTTATTACTTAAAATAAAACCATGTGTTTGTATTCCCTGTAATCCTCCAGTTGTAGTGTATAATAGTTCTATTAATTAAAATAAAACTAATTGAAGAGTTGAAATCATGTAAACCTATGGTTGGTTTGTATTGTTGTGAGTTTGTATAACCACGCTTGACGTGACCTAGTGACCTCTACGACATTCTTCAAGCGTCAGAATGGTATGAAATTTGTCATCTTAGGCCTGCCGGCTGAACTGTTGCTAACAGTTCAGGTGTGGGACTGTCTGTCCCGTATAGATTTATACATAAATCTCACACTTTCCCTCCGGGAGAGTTTGGTTATATTGTATAGGATTTAGTTCCGTACCCCGGTGGATACAACTGAAGTAGTGCCTTACAACCCAGTATTAACTTGTTTAAGGGTAGTGTTGTAGTGTTCTCTTGTACTTGAAACTTTATGTATAACTTATAGAGTAAAATAATTATACTTAAATAATTATTTAGTATTCTACTCTTGTATTCGGAAAATAGCACTATAGACCTTGAAGTATATCTACCATAGTTCATATGTTCGTTACTATATAAGGCTCTTGAATTAGTAAAATTGTGTATTGTATCTGAGAGGACCTTAGATCAAACAATTTATCAAACAATGACTATCAACAAGAACAACGAAGTTTCACAAAAAACTTTCACTAAGAATAATAATCTCACAAAGAGATTATTGAATGTACAAAGCGGCTATTAGGGTTTGTGAAAGATGATCTCTCACAAACTTGTACAAAAAGACTATATATAATTAATCTAGGAAATCCCTACAAATCAGGGATATACCAGCTAACTAATAGACGATAACTATGGAAACAAGATAAGTACTAAATCTGTTACAAAATGTTGAATATAAAACTATACATTGAACAACTGGTATGCTGACGCTAATGCTGATGCTGGGTTATGCGCTGACGCTGAGTGACCAGTTTCAAACATCATCATATTATAAGGTTCGACCTTACAATCTCCCCCAATATGATGATGTTCAAAACCAGCTAGACTAGAACACCTCTGGACAAAAATTCTTCATACTCAGCTTCAACTTCTACTTTTACTGGCCAGTAAGGACTATCCAGCAGCTCCTGTCTTCTATTCAGTAACTCCATAGCAATTAGTATATGAAACTCTCCAGAGAGATCTTGATGACTCATGCACATTTGCCTTAAGCTAACAAGATGATTTGTTGGAGCCCTTGGAATCTCCGCAGTTCGCCGAAAACACATTTTTCTGTTCTTGTCAAGATAAAACATTCCATGTTCGGGAACAGAAATGAACTGATGTTGAACCGGCTCAACACCAATGGGAAGAGAGTTGTTTAATTCTTCAGCACCAAAATTTAGAACCAATACATCTTCACCATCAACCTGAAATTTGGTTCTTCTGTTTCTTGGAATTGAGGAACTTGAACCTTGCTGCTGAGAACGCTCTTTAGGAACGAGATCAAGACGCTGAACTTTCTTAATAAGTAAATGAAGAGCACAATTCAGTTCTGAAGAAAGAGCTGAAGTTTGCTTGGATACCAATTCGAGCAATTCCATCCATTCAGAGAGTCCATATCTGATCATCTCGTCTCTCTTGACAACTTCAGTGTACGGATGTTGAGGACCTTGACGAGTGATCAGCAAAGTAAGAATTTTCTCATTACGAGGTTTTGAGGCTTTAACTTTGATGATCTTATCATTGCTCACTCTTCGTTTAAGAACATCTTGAAACCTCTTTCGATTAATCCTGTCGAGAACACTATCAGTCCTTGACTTACTGCTACTGGGAGGAGGATGTGAAGATTTAGATTTGGACTGATATTCTAAAAACCTTTGCATCCGAGCTTCAAAGGATCCTTTGGCCTGAAGTTTGTGCTGGATGAGGGATTCATCAGCTTGAGCAATATTCTTTAGAAGCTGAGCTTTATTGGCTTCATCAAGGATTTGCTTAACTTGATCAGGAGACATGTTCCATTCAGCTGCCAAATTGGATATGCTGACAATGGACTTAGATTTCTTGCTGGGAAGAGAAGTGTCAGTATGTGAATCAGATAATTCAGTATCTGCTGCCTTACGCTTGAGAGATAAAGGTTGAAGATCCTCGCTAACTACATCTGAGTCTTCTCCTTGAACTGGCACAGTGGGATCAATGAAGTTCATTTCTAGCATCTGACACTCATCATCATGTTCATCTTCATCATCATGCTCACTATCTTCAGTAAGCTTTTCAGTTTCTGTTAGTCTCTCAGAGTCGTGCAAAGACTGTGGTGGCTCGTTCTGGTTTAAAATGTTCTCTTCAGATCCAAGCTCAACAGAATCAATTTCTCCCCCTTTTTGATCATCATCATCATTTGGCCTAGGGGAAGGAGTTGACAGAAGAACTCCCTTCAGTTGGTTGACATCAGCCTCAATACGTAGAAGACGCTGACTCATGTCTCGATTCAGTATAAGAAGCTCATTAAACGCAGAGGCCGGGATTTGAATGAGATGAGTACCTGGAATTTCTTGTGATCGATGCTGGTCCCCTTGAGAATGTTGCTCCCCCCTGAGATGGTGGCATCCCTTGTGATGGTTGCTCCCCTTGAGCAGATGGCTCCCCATGAGCTGAACGAATCCTTTCAGTGATAGAAATGGTATGGTGAGAAAGTTGAGGAGAGGTATGTCTACCTTCTTGACTAGGATCAACTTGTTTTTCAGGATTAGTGTCGTTGATATCAACAGCTCCTTCGTGAGTGTCAGTGCTTAGTGAAGGAACAGTATAAGGATTCGCGATCCATTCTCACATTCGATCAGATATGACGATGTCATTTGCCAGTGGATCATACTGATACATTCGTACTGACATGCATGGGCATTAGATGGGGTTTCCAGAGTAGGAGTAGTAGGCTTCAGTGAAAAATTTATCCAGGACAAGAGCAATCCAGCGTGGAAATGGGACATGATCAGCTCGTACATTGGCACGAAGAAGTTGAACAAGATGATTAAAGAAGAAGGCCCCATAATCAAGACGTTTGTTGAGAAGAAGGGAACAGACAACTTGTTGCTCATAAGTACTCAGTTGATCACCACTACGAGATTTGTGACCCACACATTTGCAAAGTGCCCCGGTGAAGAACTTCCATCATGGAGTCATACATTGACGTAGAATCAGAGCTGATCGAGCACCAGCCTTCGAGTGATCATAGCCCGGTTGAATAAAGAGGCGTCGACAACGTTGAATAGTTGGAAGCTCAGAGAATGGTTCAAAAATTGGTAACCTGAGTGCAGCACTGAGGAGATCAGCGGTGATAAAAACTGAGCGACGGCCATGCCCAATAGTCCCAGAGATGATGGTGTTTTCATCATTAACCGTTGCGGTGTAGTAGAACTCACATACTTGTTCGGGAAAGAACTCTGATGGAACCTCACTGATAGCGTATCGAAGTCTGCAGGATACTAAAAAATTGACAAAATCAGTAAGTCCAAGACCGCGATGAACATCTGGTATATCAGGGTTGAAAACGAAATTTGTGGCTTTGATGTATATGGGAAGAGGAGGAGAGTTTGGAGCTGGGACGACTCTTCTTGAAGTGGAGGAGAAAGTAAACAGTGATGCCGCCATTGAAGAGAGTTTGGATTCTAGGGTTTTGAAGAGAGAGAAGGAAGTTTGAATGATGGGAGGAAGGTTTGGGAGAGAGGTGGAAAAAGTTTAAATATGGGATTTAATGGTTTTTAAAAAAGGTAATGATTATCTTTATCGAAAATAACTGCGTATCTTAACAGACTGTCAAATAAAAAAAATAGTCGTTGGGTAAAAAGAGCCGTTGTACTGAAGAGGAAGTGACAATCAGTGTCTGCGGAAGCGCTGAGATCAGTGTCACGAAAAGTTACATGCTGAAAGATAGCCTATCGTCAATTCAAGGTACAACTTGCTTGTTTAAGGTTAGCAAGGTGGTTGGTGCATGTGATAGATATTGGTTTAATTATCTAACCATCGGCACAAAGTGTTGAGTCTTTATCAGTGAGTGGTGCTTCTTACTGAATCATTAGACACTGAGTAAGAAGAAGGGAAGAGAGGATTGTTGCGTGTGATAGACCTTGGTGCTTTGGTCTAACCATCGGCAAAGACTGTTAGACTCTCATCAGCATGTGTTTTGTCACACTGAATCACAGAATCAGTGTAAGATTGGTAAGAAGGGATAATTGCGTGTGACAGACCTTGGTGTTTTGGTCTAACCATCGGCAAAGACTGCTAGATTCTCGTCAGCATGTGTTTTGTCACACTGAATCACAGAATCAGTGTAAGATTGGTAAGAAGAGATAGTTGCGTGTGATAGATCTTGGTGTTTTGTCTAACCATCGACAAAGAGTTTCAAGTTGTTATCAGTGTATGGTTTAATACAGTGAATCATTCAACTTTAGTTTAGAAGATTTGTAGAAGAGATAAAGATAAGAGATCATACAATGTACTCAGCATGGTAAACATCATCAGCACATCATCATCAGCAAAAAAAATACATTAGTTTATAAGACAATAGCAAACATTAGTAAAACATTTTTTTAATCCAGAGTGATCATTCCAAGTTCTCCAATAATGTGAGCATTAGTTTGAGTATCTAGGGCCTTGCTGAAAATATCAGCTAGTTGATCTGAAGTCTTGACATGTTTTAGAACAACCTTGCCCTTTTCAATATTGTCTATGATGAAGTGATGTCTGATCTCGATATGCTTTGTCTTTGAGTGATGAACAAGATTCTGTGTGATCTGAATGGCACTGGTGTTATCACAGTATATAGGAGTCTTTGTGAATTTAAGCCCATAGTCTAAAAGTTGATTCTGAATCCATAAGAGTTGAGCACAACATCTCCCAGCTGCAACATACTCAGCTTCTGCAGTGGAGATAGCTACTGAGGTTTGCTTTTTGCTAGACCAACTGATTAGTCGATTTCCAAGGAAATGACATCCACCTGACGTGCTCTTCTTATCTAAGTTGCATCCTGCATAGTCGAAATTAGTGTATCCAAAGAGTTCAAGTGCTGAGTCACGAGGGTACCACAATGCCAAGTTCTGAGTGGCCTTTAAGTATCGAAAGATGCGTTTAATTGCAATGAGATCAGACTCCTTGGGATTAGCTTTAAATCTAGCACAGAGAATGGTTCCAAACATGATATCAGGGCAACTTGCAGTGAGGTAGAGAAGAGATCCAATCATTCCTTGATAAAGAGAGTGATTAACATCAGTGCCGGTGGGATCAGCTCTTGGACACCGGAGTAGAAGCTGGTTTGCAGTCGCTGAGAGAGTACTTAACAAGCATGTCAGCAATATATTTACTTTGACAAATTGAGATACCTGATTTTTGTTGCTGAACCTCAAGACCGAAGAAAAAGGTCATCTTCCCCATCATGCTCATCTCAAACCTTTAAGACATGATCTCAGCGAATTCCTTGCTCAGCTTCTCATTTGGAGATCCAAAGATGATATCATCGACATAGATTTGAACAAGAATCATTTCTGAGCCTTTGTTTTTGATGAAGAAAGTATTATCAATTGCTCCTCTTCTGTAGCCATTTTCAAGAAGATATGATGTCAGTGTCTCATACCAGGCCCTAGGAGCTTGCTTCAGTCCATATACAACTTTATCTAGTCTGTACACATATTCAGGGTGCTTTTTGTCTTCAAAGCCTGGGGGCTGTTTGAGAAATACTTCTTCTTCTAACACACCATGAAGAAATGTTGTTTTGACATCCATTTGGTAGACAATGAAGTTCATGTATGAGGTATATGCGAGAAACAGTCTGATTGCTTTAATGCGGGCAACTGGAGGAAAAGTCTCCCCGTAGTCAATAGATTCAATTTGAGTGAACCCCTAAGCAACAAGTCTTGCTTGTTGCAAGTAATAATACCATCTTTATCAACCTTTTTGCGGTAGACCCAGCGTGTTCCGATGATGGTCTGGGAACAAGAGTCCAAACCTTGTGCCTTTCGAACTCGTTCAGCTCGTCTTGCATGGCTTTAATCCAGTCAGCGTCTTGAAGAGCTGAGTGTATCTTGTCAGGTAAGATCATTGAAACGAAATTAACATACATGCAAAAATTATTAGATACACGAGATCTGGTTCGGACACCATCATGAAGATTCCCCAATAATTTGATCAACAGGGTGATCTCGATGTTCAGGAGCTGATTCCAATGGATTTGACATTGAAGTGTTATTACTGAAAGAAACATCAGTTGCAGGAGAATCTTCAGTCTCAAGGGTTTCATCAGCATCGGACAAATGAGTTGTCGAGCTGACCGCAATACATTGATTTACAGAACTTGGGTTTGAAACGATAGGATCAGGAATAATAGCTTCTTCTTCAATATGAGAAACTTCATCATATGGGCAAGAGAGAAGCTCTTGAAAGATAGAAGAGGAATGAGCTACTTTTTCATCAGTGTATGATTCTTCATCAAACTTTACATGAATGGATTCCTCAATGCATTGCCTGTTCACATGAAAAACACGAAAAGCCTTTGAAATAGATGAATATTCAACAAAAATACCTTTGTCAGCCTTAGGCTCAAATTTTGATATGGGATCGCGTTGATTGAGAATATAGAAAACACATCCAAACACATGAAAGAAGGATACGTCTGGCTTTCGACCTTTCAGAATCTCATATGGTGACATCTTGTGAACCTTGTGAATTAGAGAGCGATTCTGAGTATAACATGCTGTATTAACAGCTTCAGCCCAAAACGACATAGGAAGACCAGCATGTATCATCAAGGTTCTTCCTGCCTCTATCAGTGTTCGATTTCTTCGTTCAGCAACTCCGTTTTGTTGAGGTGTGCGAGGAGCTGAAAAGTTCTGCCCAATGCCTTTACAATCACAAAAGTCTTCAAGAGTTGAATTCCGGAACTCAGTGCCATGATCACTCCTTAGCTGCTTAACTTTGAGACCAGTCAGTGTCTCGTTTTGACGAATCAGGGAGATAATTTCTTGTGCAGCATGACTTTTCTTCTTCAAGAAAACCACCCATGTAAATCGAGTAAATTCATCCACAACCACCAGAGTATACTTGTTTCCTCCTATGGAACATATAGGAATAGGTCCAAACAAGTCCATGTGAAGTAAATGAAGAGGAACGGATATGCTAGAACATGAATTGGGTTTGAAAGATGACATGGTTTGCTTTCCTTGTTCACACGCTGAGCACACCTTATCTTTGACAAAACTGAATTTTGGAAGACCTCTAACCAGATCTTGATTGGATATTTTAGACAAATACTTAAAGTTCAAATGTGAGAACCTTTTATGCCAAATCCAGCTGAGATTGATTTGAGATTTGGTAAAAAAAACATTGCATCAGTGCCCTGTCACTTGAGAACATGTCGAGAACATATATATCATCTTTTCTGCTTGCTGAGAGTGCAATGTTCTTGTCGGTGTTGATGACTCTTCCCTCCTTCTTTGTAAAATGAACTTCATAATCAGCATCACACAATTGGTTGATTGAGATAAGGTTGTGTTTGAGCCCCTTTACATATGAAACATTCTGAAACACCACATTGTTGCACTTGATGTTCCCATATCCTTTAGTAAACCCCTTTCCATTGTCTCCGTATGTAACTGCAGGACCACTTTTCTTGACATAGTCTTCCAGGAGAGACTTGGATCCTGTCATATGTCTTGAGAAACAATTGTCTAAGTACCAAAGATGCTCTTGACCATGCAGTGCTGAGAAACTAGTTAGAACACACTGACCCATTGTAAAATGAGTCATTCACAAAGTTTTTCGACAATAAATTATAACACTCTTTAGGAAGACAGTTCAAAGAATTTGATTTAAGAGTCCATTTTTCATTTCTAATTTTGATGTTGTCAGCTCTTAAAGATGTTTTATCAAATGTGCATTCACTGATCTTGTGAGAGGTATTATCACATCTGTAACAAACTCTAGTACCAAAGTTTTTCTTGGTGAGCAGATGTCTAGATTTAACATATTTGGATTTGTAAGATCCACCAAGTGAACTTTGAGTCCTTTTGTTTGACATTGAGTCACAACTGAATTCAGTGTCAGATGGATTATGATCAGTGATGGATAAGGAGCTGACATCAGTATCAGATTTGAACTTATTCACGGAAGCACTATTAGGGTAATGCTTAAGTTGTTCATGAACAACATGAAACACTCCATTTGAGATAGGGAAGGAAATAATATTTTCAGTGAGAGGAGTTTGTCTCACAAGATGTGCAGGGTAAGAGGTAGGATCAATTCCGGTAATTTCAATATTACACTCAGTAACACCATTAGAATTAGTAACACAATATTCATCATTTAGACTCTGATTAATAAAAGTGTTACTGATAAACTTATTTTTGAAACTATCTTTCAACTCATTCATGGAATAAAATTCAGATTCTTTTTCTTGAGATTTAAAAACCTTTTCAGCTTCAGCAAAATTTTCCCCAAGAATTTTCTCACATGAATGAGGTATTTGAGCAGAAATGACATAATTAGCATTTTTGTGAGATTTAGCCCAAATTTGTAGTACATTTTGTTCTTTGTTCAAGAGATCTTTAATATTATCAATTTCAATAGACAGAGAGGAATTTGATAAACTAGTGACTCTTAGA